ATGAATAATTTGTGATATTTTGCAATTTTTTAAAATTTTGTTCTCTGTTGTTTAGGTGAAGTGGTAGTACATTATGGCAATGGTAGGTATGTAATACCAATACTAAAGTATATCGTAAATTTATAGAAGCAAATTTTTTCAAAATGTGTCCTCCCAAATTGCAAACGTAAAGCTTGAGTATAACTGCAATAAGCATTTTATACTTATATGCCAACCCCGTATGAAGGACGGATACTCTGCTAGTTGGATTATTGTATGCAATTTTTTCGTTTCATTTTGTAATGTTCATCACACTGCCTCATGGCTGATTAAAAGAATCTATTATAACAGGCTTATTTGCAAAATTGTTCAAGTTTATCATATATTTTGATACCATCATTAAAATGAAACAAGTTACTAGTAACATTTTTTGTTCGATGTAAATATTTATTGGCAAATCTAGACGTTTTAGCTTAAAACACACGTGTTAAATAATTGTAGATAGTATATTGTCAACAACTTAATTTTCGTTGATAAATCAAATTCGGATAACCACAGATCGGAGACACAAATCCTTTGGAAAGACTAAAGAGAAGAAAGGAATGTAGACCTACTGTAAGACCCCACCTTTTCAAAGTACTAATTAATTATTTATTAAAGATATAATCATAAACCAACATCCTACATAGATGAATATTGATGTAGCGCCACATTTCCACTGCAGTTCCTAACACGAGGAAATGCAAACATTTTATATGGCGTCCAATATTGATTTTTATATGTTCATACAATTGCAAAACAGTGTCAGTCAACACAGTACTTTTAATAAGTAAAAAACCATACTATCCCGGTTCACCGACCGCATAAATCGAGTTCGATATGCGATTGCTATTAGAAACCGGTTCAAAACGCGTACACGCACTGGAGTGGGGGAGGGGGAGGGAACTGGTTGTCGTTGTAACAGTGACGTCAATTACCTGGGAAACTTCTCTCCAGGAGTGACGTCAAACCTCAATAGAGGAGAAACCACGGAGTGAGTAGCGCAAAGCTGTAGGGTAACTGATAACTCCAGCAAAACTCCCCTTCGTCACTTTAACTGTTGGTTTCTAATATTAGTGAATTACAAAATACATCCGGATAAAATATGGCTCGTATTGGAAAGTGTTTGTCTCAAGAGTGGAAAAATACGCCGATTTTGTTGCCCTCAAAAAGTCTCGGAAAATTTCGGAGTTTTTAGTGGATTAGGGATAAAAGAACTCGCCTCAAAAAATTGTTTGAGAGAATAATGTAATTTATTAATAAATCTAAGGCAAAATAAAGACATGTACAGTACTAATAAATTAGTAAAATATTGCATCGTTCTCGAGGGGGTGTAAAATGTACCACTTGTGTGTGGGAATGGCAGGATGATATTTTAAATGTTTCAGTGACACCCTATGAATCTATGATAGCTATTTTAATAACAATTTGTCTTTGTCACCTTTTCTGTACTCGGAAAAGGTAGCCTACAGCCAGTGATAGCGGCCTTGCTGTGAATATATTTACGTTATGTTTTCCAAGGACGATATTATTAAAGTTTTTGTAAGGAAATAGTCCGAATCCTTCCCCATTTCATGTAAGGGTAAGGTCTCACTAAAAGTACAGCAGCGATAAGGTATTCAATCAAACAATTACCGAACTATTCCATTCCATTTGGGTCTTGAGTATGGCAAAACTTGTAACTTGTAGGTAACGAAGGATACAAGTTGTGTTGTGTGTAGGCCTAGTGGACTGGGAATGGGTAAGCTGTATAAATAGCAGCTGGCGTCGAGATCCGTAGACATAGGCCTAGCGCCGCGACGGCCGCCAGCCCTCGTTAATTATTTAGTCTAAAAATGTCGTTGACGCCATCGCTAAGAAAACGACAGATTAGATGTCCATTTCTCGGTCCTGTAACAGTCGTTTCACTTCATTTACATCCTTCGCGGCTGTTCGTAAAAGGATTACTGTACCAAATTACTGCAATAATTTAAATATTGATTTTCGACGATGTGTAATTAATAAAAAACCCGAAAAAAGTATACAATATTCAATTCAATAACGATACTCCTTCAATGTGATAGTGTTAGTAATGCGTGGAAGTGTCTTCAAAAGATATACTTGGCACAAATAGTTGGCACAACACGTTGGTATTTGCAAAATTGGACAATCCACAGAGGAAGATTGAGGCGATGAATAAACTTAAAGGGGGCTTAAAAGAAAGCGTGCATTCAGTCTAAATATTGTATAGTAATAATTTATCAGATACAACAAAAATTATCAGGATTGAATTAGTATTTTACCTAACGACTAATAATACCCCTAAAAAAGTTTAATTTAGATGGTTTTGCAAAATGGAAAAATTCTTGATGAAACGAAAATAGTTTGCGCCTTTGCGGGGTTGTCACTTATCCTTCTTCGAGTCTTATAGGTGTCATGGCAAATTGGCCTAACAAAGCTCTGGGATCCGTCATTATAGATGTAGGAGTAGGAGATACGGACTGGAGACTGGATGTCAATATACTTAAAAATCTGTGAAATATCCAAGTTAGGCATGTGCTGGAATATGCCACCGTAGTTTTATATATGTAACACACATCTAATCAATTGCAAACAAGACTAGACAACATTCAGACTCTTTTTATTAGTGTGGAATTGTTCCACGATTTTCATGTAGTTTTGATTGAGCGAATCATCGTACATTTCATTTAGGATCTACCGAAGACAAGCTGCAGATCTATCTATCTTTTGGAAGCTGTTACCTGAAGAAGTCAAGAAGTTAGTGGACTCAACAGAAATCATTTGTCTTATAACTTTTCACGTTCTGGACACAAATTGGAATTCATCTGAGCAATTTCTTCCGTGCCAACGTGTTGATATGCTCACCAACAGCTTGACAAACTTATATACTAACCTACTTACGGTCAATTTAGCATCACACATCTTTTATATATTGTTTTGTTTTCTATCTCACAACTACCTCTATTTATTGTTTTTATTTCATATTTTTATTGTAAAGGTCCGATTGTGGATGTTTTATCAATTAATTTGAAATCAATGTTGTTCTCCTTCTTATGTATTCAGTCTAATTAACTTTATTACAAGCAAGATAGAACAACATAAGGTACAATTTAGGAACAATACTTATAATATTGATTTAAATGTTAGCTAAGCTTTATCGTTGTATGTTTTTTGATTAGAATAAAATTGTATAATGTGCCACACTGTATTGACTGTAAAATGAAGTATTCCATATTAATTAATAAATACAATTAAATAATTACAATACTGTACTCGTAATTCATTCTAGAGATGCAAAAATGGTCAAGCAAATTTTGCATCAAGCAGCTTTTACTTATTGATTTGATCTATAATTATTAATATAGTACATCGAGTTCTTAAGCAAATTCGTTTTAATAGTGTCGTTATCATAAACAAATTACAGAGTGGAGTCAACAATGGAATCAAAATGGTGAAATAGCTCCATGAAGCATATGTTTACATATTGTTGTGAAGTGTTCTTGACGACTGCGCACGCTTGAAATTCCCGCGCAACTCCGTTGGATGATGGGAGTTATATGTCTGCACGATCCTCGCAGGTTCGCCCAATCGCGCCGCAGATCAGTGTTTCCATTTGAGGGATAAAAATCCCTTTCTAGGGATATTTAGGGCCTTCGAGGGATTGAAAAGGGATTGAGGGATAACTAGGGATAATCAGCGAAATTGAAGGATTTTTGAGATTTTCTAGGGATTTCAGGCCTTTGACATTATAAAATTGAAATATTGATAAAATAATACATTATGGCTGTATTTCAACAACGTTAAGGACCTTTTGGCTAATTTTCCAAGGTATTAATAACACATTGATTATACTACTTTTTCCCTAGGTTTTGCTAACAAATCGATTGTATCATAGATAAAAGATACTCTTCAAGGAGGATGTTTTATCTATGGTTGTAGGTAGTGGTATGGTAGTGACGTAGTGTTTCAAAGTCGGGACACTCACGGGGAAGAGTAACAAACAGCCAACACTGCAGGAAACAAGCGAAGTTGGAGTTGGTCGGTGGAATGGAATGGCGGATCTAGATTACTGTATTTTTTTTTAGTAGCCCTGTGCCCTGTGTCAATGTCGAATGTTTGTTTTCGTTTTGATTTTGTTTGCCGGTGATTTCTGTGATGTCTGTGATGTTCTTTGGTTAGTAAGTAACTTGGTGTAACCTTTTCACCAAGGCATGATGGCCATGTTTGAAAAATACTATTGAGTTTGAAAATTGGACACTTAAATAATATTTTTGAAACGATTGTATACCAATATTAATCTTGTTTTGTACCACATAGACAGTTTTTAATCACGACTACCTTTAATTCCAGGCCGGAGGCCGCGGCCTTCGAAGTGGAAACGTTGCAAGTTGCAAGTATATTGTTGTAAAGGTGTTTGTTTGGAGAACGCTAAGCTATAATGATATTTATGTATTTTTTTAAGAATACGAAAGCTTGGTTACTGAGCTATGAAAATATTGACTCCACATTGAATGTACAGAAATAGATTTTCAATTTATATTGTTTTGGTTTTCGATTCTATATTATGTTTTATTTCCATGTTAACTTATGGGACGTCTTGCGCTAAACAATACCTACTACAGTACTTGCAACGTTGCCAATTCTACCAGGCCGCGGCCTGCCTGGAGTTAAAGATGGCCGTGGTTTTAATGCTACAAAAATGTTTTTTATATAGTACCTATTACTTTATAAATAATATGGGTTATTGAAGAATAATATCACCAGTTACCATATTTTAGGTGGCTATACATGATATCCATTGGTATTGCTGCAAAAATAATAAATTATCTAGATTTGATATAGAGGGATAATTGGAGGGATTATTAGAACACGGACTAGGGATAACTAGGGATTTTTTGACGTTGGCCCAGGGATATTTTTTTCTTGCGGATGGAAACACTGCCGCAGATGTATTTCAGTTCTTTGAAAGTGTGGTCATCTGTTCTCAAAATATCTTTCAAGCACATTAGCCTGCTGAAATGCAAAACATCGTGTCGGAATTACTGTGAAAGTCTTCTTGTTAGTTGGTGAATGTTTTTTTCTAAAATACTGTTTTTATTCGTAAAGTGACTGTGTGTTTACGAACGAAAGTTATCATAACTATCATTGTTAAGTTTTCTTCAAAGTTTGTTAAGTTGTGTTAAAGTGCCAAGGAGTAAAAGAAAGACCTTGACAATTGATAGTTTATTTCTGAAATGAAGTTTTTCTCTAAACACCTAGTGTCGATGCTGTGATTTTTAGTTTGTGAGTAATTTCCTTATACCATATTTAGTTTTTCAAGTTGTGTATCTCAACTTTGTTGTTACAGTATTTAATGCCTAGTTTAATAAAGGTGTAGAACCTATTTTCTATAAGTTAGGCCTACCCTAGCTCTTGTATAACTTAGGACTAGGCCTAGGTTATACCTTTGACTATTAATACAACAACTTCTGTATCCAATAGTCAATGGTTATACCTACAGTAGGCCTACCTTAAATCGATAAGCACACAAAATCCGAAACTAACTTAAGTTAAGTGCTAACTCAAAGAGAAGTAGGCCGACCTGATTTATTTTTAGTTTAGGCTAGGCCTATTTATTATCTTTGTAGCCTATTTAGGCCTATTGGTTTTTGGTTTTGTAGGCTATCCTCATAAGCTTTGATTAATGACCTCTGGCCTATCCCTAAATTTGAGAAGGACCAAGTTAAAAAAAAAACGAGAGAATTAAAAAATATGTTCTAAGTTTTTCTAAATTACCGTGTTGGGTAAGACTTAGCCTACCCTTTATAAACTAGGCTATCTGGGTACTGTTCCGCAGAGAACATAATAATATATATTAACTTAATATATTATTGGATTAACAACGGATAATCAGAATAATGAATAATGTAAGTTAATAGGCCTATTGGATGTTTAACTTATTCAACAACTATTACAACTATTACATTATTAACTTATACAACCAATTCAATACATTACAAATATCGATTACAAAATATACAAAGTAAACATTGAATTGATTTTATGATTTAACTAGAGGACCCATGCTGCTCCGCAGCGTTGAAATAAATATTATATTTCAGAAATAATCAAATTTATAATTTTTGATTGAGTAATACAGTAGCCTAGGTATCTTGAACCTAACTGATAACATGATCAATGGCTAAAATGAAAGCCTATAATTTACTGATTATTTTGAGTCTAAAACATATTAAAAACACATAAACAATACCAACAACAATAAGGTACGGTACCGTACCATATTGATTTTTAATCATAGAAAAACCTTATAAAAATGTCTTTTTTTGATTGTTTACCTTGCGTTTGCTTTCAAACTCATCCGATTTGAATAACTAATAGGCTAGCTTAAATTAAAGCTAGTATTTTACTGAAGTCATAAGTCTTTAGGTACGTATTTGCCATTAAATACAATAAGTAAGCTACAATAGGTTCGTCATTTAAAATAAGTACATCCAAAATCAAGTCAATTTCGTTTCCCTTTCCCTTTAGTAGTTTGGTTTGTAAAAATACCATTTCATTACCGGTACCTACTGTTCACGATCAGAACTTCCGTAGATTCAACCTACTTACTTGTGAATGGTTAGGCCTATAAATTACCTACCAACAATATGGTTGTTTCCTTCCAACTTGTTGGTTTATTGATTATGCAACGTACCGGTAATTCAATCGAACTCCCAATATATTAAGTCCGTGTACAGAAATATGCATTTGTCATTTTTATTTCCATGTATTAGCCTAAAGCTTTGACTATTCCTAAAGCCACATTTACCATTTTAAGTCTGAAGAAACCAATCATATGTTGTGAAGAAACATTGATAGATTCTTACTAATTCCAGTTTTTATTCACGACAATAATGTTTCAAAACATCACCTACTTAGGGGCTCAGCCAGTTTGTTGATAATAGAGGGGTTTTCAATAAGGTGTATAAGCTTATTGACTTTAAGTAAGCTTAGTGACTAGGCCTCTTTTATGCACGACGTTTTCTGTTGTGCGTTCTGTCAGGGAGTTTCTATACATGGGATCATATAGGACCCTTTTATGCTTGACAAATTCTCTGTCGCGTTTCGGCGTTCAGTCTGGGGCATTTTTTACATAGGATCAAATGGAACCCTTTTATGCCACGGCTTTTTCCGTCGGGCGTAATGCAGCGCTCCCAACCTACCCCGTGCTCTGTCATTCACAGTATCAAAACTTGCCTAGTCATTATAAATAGGCCTAGGTGATCATCATAATATATCAAGGAAGAAATGCAACTTAAAAAAAAATCTTGCATGGTGAGCATAATTAAGTTTAGGCCTACATTTTTGTTAAAATTCTCGGTATAATACAATCATTTCACAGCCCACCATATATCATTTTGCAGAAGCCCCATCCAGCCTATGACTTTGATTCACCGGGTGTACAGCCCACCTCCTTCCTCGTCGTATATTTTTCTTCATATACAAATAAGTCAAAACCAATATACAAGGGTCCATCTTAGGTGACTGATAATGGTGAAATGAAGAAAGTTGGTAGCACCCCCTGCCGTGGGTATCATAAAAATCCAGCGGATTCCGCTTGGTGAAAAACCTGCATAAAAGGGGCCTAAATTCCGCCCGCAGATTTTGCCCGTCCGAATACGTCGTGCATAAAAGAGGCATTAAACATATGTGATGCACTACAATACATTCCATCTTGTTTGTGCTTGTTGGGAGCTTTGTGTGTGAGGTTGTGGGATGTTTCCAGGCAATGGCTGCATCCATTATGGAGTTGCCAGACAACTCATCGGGTATCAATATTAGTGATGTCAGTAAGTATCACATCCACTGACTACTTGCTTATTTTTCACAGCTTTTAAAATGGAAATCTTAGTGGTCAGTGAAAAAATACAATTTCCATTTGTTGCGGTGGATAAGAATTAGATTGGCTCCTTACATTGGATTACAATTACAACTTTTTTAATTAATGGTTTTCCTATGGTTTGCAAAGCTATTTGGTACCGTACTTGATTTTGAAGTGTTTACTTTTGGTGAGGGTTTTGGTTTTGGCCTTTTTCTATCCTACTTTCTAGATTCCTTAATGTTCTTTGCATGTTTACATTTGCACTATTCACTCATTGATATTGTGTACATAGTTCCGAATTATCAATTCTATACTTTTAAAGCTTAAATGTCATTAAATTCTACAACTAAGTTAGATTGGCTTGGCGGAAATAAATTACGTAAAAAACTATGAATTGACAGGACAGATTCAAATAGTTTTTCCTCAAATAAAACTTCCCTAATGTGTTGTCCAATAAGGCTTTAAGTCTTTTGTCTTACTAAGTAAACATAGCTGCGGTTGAATTAGTTGCAAGGTACTTATGTAAATATTAGGCTACGAAGGTGGCAAGCCTGCCTCTAGTGCTTGCCTAGAAATCAAATGGTTTGACCCTGAAAACGTTTGGCTAAAGGTAAAACGTAATAGTGATGGGCGATACGATACGTATCCGAAAAAAATATCGTATCGCCGTATTGAATCGGGCCTCTGTATCGCGATACGCGAATCGTATCGTCAAAAATATCGAAAAACAAATCATTAGTTTACTCTGAAAACAGTCTTAGTATTACAGATACATTAATCCATTCCCACACTACTCCACACTGCTTGCCTTTACTACTTCCTTCACAACTCCCTACGTCTTGGACCTGTATCCCTTTCCTTCCCATAGCATTTTAAAATTGCAGATACATTAATGTAATGTAATTGCCACAGACAGTTGACAGTTCTCACACTCTGCACTGCACTGCTAGGCTTGATAGAACGCTAGTGGAAATGGACTGGAGACTGGACTGGGAGGGGACTGGTATATTATCAAGTAAAAACCAAAAATATAGACGTCACAAAGTCCCATTTCAAACTACACATCCACAGACAGACTTTGCAGTTTGCTCAGCCTACGCAAAAAAAATCTTAAAAATATCGTTTTGACATGAATCGTATCGCTCTATGTTCCGATATAAATACAAATATCGTTTTAGGCGATACGATACGTATCGTTTTTTTAATATCGTATCGTCCCTCGCGTATCGCGATATTCCGATACGATACGATACGTATCGCACATCACTAAAACGTAAATGATCCTGGCTAAATGTAAACAATCAGCTGATTTTAAGAGTAACAAATAGATCATTGTGAGAAGCTAAACAATGCAACTCACCTATCCCACACTGTTTATTCTGCATTCACATTTGAGTTCAAACACAACCGTTGTTTGGTATTTCATTGGTGACATAAAAGATGTGTTATTTGTCACTTTTTTGCAAACATCTTTGTCAAAATGGTTGAGAGTGTCCCTTTTACGCTGTCAAACAATTTATACACGGTGGTGAAGGTTGCCATGTAAGAAAGTGTCAGCTCATTTTTCAGGTTATTGCCTTTTGGCGATCTTTTCCAAAAGATACTGTTGTTGTTCCGGTTTTTGTATCTTATCCTTGCATTTAAAATCATTAATAATTTTTTTTTTTTATTGTTATGTCTATATTTCTGTTTTAGTTGAAGTTATAGAGACTGATTGCAACAGCATGGATTCGACCAGACGAGAGGGTCCTTACATCAAGATTGTTGAACAACCTGCGTCCAAAGCACTTAGATTTCGTTACGAGTGTGAAGGAAGATCGGCTGGAAGTATTCCAGGTGTAAATAGCTCTACAGAGAACAAGACTTATCCTACAATACAGGTAACATCGGTTACCTACGATATACTTTGTGTAGCACCTGTTAGCATAAATAGCTCATGCAATTATGAGTACACATTGCAGTAAAGATTTTGTTATCTGTCACATTTACTGAAAATTCTTTCATTGATGATATTATTAGTCCCTTTATAATGGTTCTGACCAGTGTGATGTAAAGAGCTGGTTTGTACTCACAATGGTACAAAAACTGTTCTCCAATCTCCTAAATGGGCTTTTATGCCCTAACTTCTCCCTGGGTTCTAGTCTCAATCCATTTTCACTTTACTTCAGGTTAGACCCCAGAGGGTCTCAGAATTTTATCACTTAGATAAAATCCATTGGCGATTGACGGCATTTGAACCTGGGTCCTTAGGTACCAAAGTACCACCCTCGACCTCTAGACCAGCTCGTTCCTCATCCTAAATAGAGGAAGCCATGCACTCCTGTTAAAAAATGCAAGATTTTTGCAAAAGCAAATATCTCAGAAGTTTTATTGTAACCACTCATACAATTCGTTTATAGTCTTGTCCAACTCAAAATTTAGGGAAGTAAAACTAAAGTACAGTAAATTGAATGTCAGCTGTCTTGTAAAATTAGTATAATAATGTCTCCAAGAAGACATTCACTGTTTCCCTTGCACAAACACCTAAAAAAGGTGGTCTAGGTGGGTATTTATCTTATTTTCTCAGGTCATAAATCCCATTGGGTTTGATGTTGGTGTGGATTTCATTATCTAGTTGCTTCCTGAGTTGTAGATTTTGCTCTTCCAATAGCGATTGTTTATCCAATAATTTTTTTTTATGATAGTCAATTGACTTTCTTTAGTGCATTTATTCTTTTTCACTGCGTGGAATGATTAAAAGCAAAAGTGAAACTAGGTTGTTTTTACTTTAGATATAGTTAAGGGATGGTTAAACGCTGGTGTCTATGAAATCGTGTCTATGACATCGTGTCTGTGACTTCTTTCTTGTCTCAGATATGTCGCACATGAAACCAACCCATGTTAACAAAAATCAGAGCTTACACTCTGCTTGCGCCACATGTCCGGATCATCATCTGTGTATCGGACATGTGTCGTGCGAGAGTGTTGGGTGAGACATGTCGTACAACATCACGCTTGAAGTCACTGGAACACATCCCCTGAGCAAAGAGTTTATTCAGCCATTTACAAAGCCTATGGATGAATCAAAATGTCTTTTGCACTTGTACAATCTTACTACAATTGTTGCCACTGTAAATAAATCAATAAAAGCACATTTTGTGTAGTTTAATCGACCATAGTGTTAAGTTTAATTGTGAAATATTCTTGAAACATGTGTCATCTATTCATAATTTGGTTTTAAACCACATTATCAGCACTGTGATAACTCAATGTTTTCTTTCACAGATTAAAAATTACAAAGGGAAAGTAGTGGTTGTGGTTTCGTGTGTGACCAAAGATGCACCCTATAAACCCCACCCCCACAACCTTGTTGGCCGAGAAGGTTGCAAAAGGGGAGTCTGTACACTTGAGGTAAGAAGTAAAACTTTATTTTTTTTCTCATTCCAGTTTTGTTTTTTTGTTTTTATTTTTTGTGGATCGTTTTTTAGTTTGGTTATTACTAGGTACGATAAAATTGTAGTACCCTAACAGAATGTATTAAGTCTGCATTTCTAATGTGGGATTTAGTTTTTAACTGAGACTCTGGTTACTTATTTGGTTTCAAATTTAAGTTTGGTGCTTCAAATTTTAGTTGGTTTTTAATTAAGTTTTTCAAGTGGTATTTTGTTATTAAGTCTATTAGAATATGTTTTAAGGCAGGATTATACAGTTTATTATAACTGTGTTTACATAGAGTACTTTACTTTTACTTTTTGCTTTCTTATGAAATGGCGACCATACAATGTAGGTATTTTAAGCCAAGTATGAATGGAGATGAGTGTAGGATGAGTGGCGCGATCTTGTAGTCTTGTTAGTGACTAAGGTCGACATTCCTTAGACACAGCTGTTAATTAATAGCCCAAACAGCTAATGGCAACTAAGGGACCTACAGTTTATAGTGGAATCCGAACCACATTTTTTCCTTGGTATATACGAATTGGTCTAATTATCAGGATAGTACTGCGGATAGTCGTAATACTCACTAGTGCGGACGTTAATCCACACCAGGGAGTATCCCATCCACAGTGCATACCTATAAATATCCACAATCCGTGACCTCCTAGTAGCTGGATTACAGGACGACGCCACCCGTCCCCCCAATGCAAAAATCTTGAAACTATTTTTTAAACCATAAACTTGGATTGTGTTGTGAATTTTGCAGCGAAAACTTGTAAATAACAAAGGGTCTATTCTGGTTTGATTCCCAACTTTCCTGAATCATCAAGTTCACGTTAAAATCTTGGTGATTTCCCACTATAGTGGTAGTACTTTTTAGAATTTTTGTGTCAACATGCTTACTCTTTACATTCGGTAAAATGTTAAATATATATGCCTAATTTACATAACTATTTATTTCACTTCTAAAATTTGTTGTTTAATAGTCCAATAAACCATCCTTGTAAATGTAAAAATCCTTTTGTTGTAATGCATTGTGTATGTTTAAAATCAGAGTCTAATCAGATTGGGCTATGAGGTGTCAACAGGATGCATTGCCATCGTCTGTTACGTTACAACACTTTGTGATGCCACCATGATCCCCCTTGTGCTATGGATTGTACCCTTTAAACAATTTGTTTCTATTATAAAACAATGGCTTAAGGAAAATGTTTTTTATTCCATAGACGATTATCTGGCCTGTGATATTAGTTCCCTATGTTTTTAGAACATCAATGTTAATATTAATATATTTAAATATTTAATTGTTATTATATTTAAAGATTTTATTGTTATTATATTTACAGATTTTATTTTTGATCATTGACATGTAAATTGTTAATTTATTTATTTTAGAGTTAATTATGTTTAACTGTTATTTTTTAAAGAGTGATTGCTACTCACTTGGTGCATTCTTGCTGTTAGGCCTACTCTAACAGGAAATTAACTGTATGTATTATTAGAAAAAAAAAGAAAAAACTTTGACGATGTCTATTGTAATACTTGTATTGCTTAATGACAAATAAAGATCTTGAATCTTGAATCTTGAATCTTGCTTGGGCCTCATGGCTGTATTTTTTTTTTTTTTTTTTTAGTTTGGGAACCTTGTTACAAATTTATAAAAAAAATATTTTCAGATTCACAATGACACAATGACCCAAAGTTTCGACCATCTTGGAATCCAATGTGTGAAAAAGAAAGATATTGAAGACGCCCTCAGGATAAGAGAAGAGATAAGAGTTGACCCTTTTAAAAGTAAGTTACTTCCAACTATTATTGTCTTGTCTTACTGTTTGCAATACAACTGCTGCTACTGTTTGCAGCTGTACAACTACTGTTTGCTGCTGAATACAATGATTGCCCCTTAGCTATAGATCAATTGTAGCAATTTAAAAAACTTTAAGATTTATAAATAACTAAAGCTTGTTACCATTGATATATTTGCTAGATTTAAAAGTACCTACAGTAAGTTGGTAATACCAGTAAGATGTTAATTGTGCTTTACTAGACTTCTAGGAACTATGCATCTTTATCATGGGTCAGCCTCAAAAGTCGCCACAACTACTGATTAATTAATCATAACTGTTTTTTTGTGTACTGCACTGGCTCTATGTTTTCTCACTCAATTTGGACATTTTGAGTTTTGACGGTCAAAATAAGAAACCCTATATTCACCCCACAAACCCCGGTTCCCATGGTCCAATCATGTTGGTTCGCAAACTCATTCAAGCTTATCCTGGCTTACACCTTCAAACCAAATTTTATCAAAAGCGGAGAAAAATTACTCAAGTTATCGCGTTCACTGATGTGTTTATATATGGTACTTGTATAAAAAATTTGGAAGATTAGTGTTTTTGGCCTGTAAGGACATCAAAATGAAAAAGTATATTGATCCCGGCTCCAGGTCTTATAGTGCCACCTACGGTAATAACTACTTCCCTAAAGGGAAATTTGCTAAAAGTGTATCTTTCTCATAATTGCAAATCTTAAGTATACCTATAATTTTATTTCCTAATAATTAAGGTATGTACCTACCGGTTAACTTGGCGAAGATTTGTTGGTGCGGCCAAAAATCACCTCCAATATAAATGGCCCTGGGAGTAAGTAAATAATTAAAGTATGTACACTTAAGGTTGTAGGACTGAAATAAGGCCTCCAAGAGTTGACAAAGAAATCGTGTTTTACTATTTGTACTAGAATTATGGATTGTAATATTAATGAGAATTACAATGCTGAGCTGAATTATCAGTGTTTTGCTTGTTTCAAATGTTGTGTTTTTTTTGCAGCTGGTTTCTCACACAGGACACAGGCGGGCTCGATAGACTTGAATGCTGTCAGATTATGTTTTCAGGCCTTCTTAGAGGACAGACCAAATTCTGGAACATTTACAATTCCATTGGTGCCTGTTGTTTCAGAAATCATCTATGACAAAAGTTAGTGTTGATCTGCAATTGTTTAAAACATATGATACTATGTAATCCATATGTATATTTTAATTGAACGTTCCCGTAAGCTATAAAAGGTATAAAATTACCTGAGTACTGCCAGAGTGATCCAGAGACAAAACAACTCAAAATATGAAGTTCCCGTAAGATGTTTTTAAATTAGAGTTAGTCTTAGCTATACGGGTTGGATGTATTCTAGCAAAGTCCTGTGCAAACTGCAAAGCAAATAAAGGAAGGACTATTTGTAGACTGCCATCACGGAAGAACAATATATTTCACTAGTACCCTTCTAAAAGATATAAAGCTTTTTACTTTGTTATTGATTCTTTTTGTGGATAAAAAATTATGCAAAATTCTTAGATTTATTTACTAATACACTTTTTCTATACATTTTGTTGTGGCATTTTTAAGCCCTATAATCCAGGATATCCATTACATTCTGTTTTGTAGCTTCATCACTACAAAATGGTCAAGTCTGTATCTTCCTCTTTTGTCATGTGGTTGCTACAAACAGGTTACTTCTTGACCAAATTCAGCCAGTGTGTGAATGTTTTAAGTAGGATTTCTAAAAATTTAAAGACGCTGCTTGTAACTTGTCAAAAGTAACTTTAGATGTAGTAAGGTACTAATATACTGGTTTGGTATTGATCAAAGTTTGCCAGTTTTATATTAGAATGGTCTGATGGTGTACTTGTGTTTTCAGAAGCACTTTGTGATCTAGCCATCTGCAGGCTGAGCCATAGCTCTGCCACAGTGGCGGGGGGTCTGGAGATGATATTGCTCTGCGAAAAAGTTCTCAAAGGTAAAATTATTATTTTATGTCTACTATTATAGGTCCTCTTACCCCTGGAGGTTTTACCTTGGAGGCAAAACACGTTTTTACCAAAGTTGGGTTGTATTTGTAATTTCTTTTTATTATTCTTTTTCTTTTTCAGTTTGCTTTTATTGCTGTAACAGAGCTGTTACTGATCTAAAAGAAAGATAGAAATACTTGTAGTTCTTTATTTCACCCATCTGATTATAAAGTGTAATTTCAGTTTAGCATAAACATACAGTGTTTTTGGAATATTTGAATCAGTAATACTACTCAGTACCAATTACTAACAAAATGTCTTTGAGAGTATGATAATTGGAAGATCTTGTACAGAATTCAAAAAGCCTCACTATATGGGAAGAGATCGGTTCAATCAGGTTTAGTGTCTTCCAAGTGAAAAATCCTTTGTCGATTGTGTTTTACTCCATCCAAAAGTTTTGTTAAAGCTGTGATGGCTCAAGATATGTCTTTAATTTGCTTTATTTTTTAGATTGACACAAATGAGCTTTGATTGCCAAATGATTCATGTTTGCTAAATGCTAGGAAAATTTCAAAAATATATGCTGCTTGACAACTTTTTAAATATTTAAATTTTTCCAGAAGTCTTTTCATGTCTGTCCAGGACATGGAATTGGAAAATGAACAGGACATTACTATTCTTGGGACACTTAAGAGCTAAGATTGTGGAATTATTTAAAATTTAATTTTTTTATGATATAAAAAAATTGGGTCTGACTAGTTAATAAATCCTTGACACAAATAATCAACACAGCCAATTAAAATAAGAAAATTGCAGATGCAAATTAATTTAACTGATTATGGGGTTGTGTTTTCAGAGGACATTGCAGTGAGGTTGTACGAGGAGAAGAACGGAGAAATAGTGTGGGCGGCCAACTGTGAGTTCACCCCGGCCCAGGTACATAAACAGGTGGCCATCACGTTCAAGACCCCACGCTACCACACTATGCAGGTCCGTCTAAACAGATTCTATTAATTTTAGTCTAGCTTATAGCTGTAAATTTTAGCCTACCTTTTCTTGGGGTTTACTTTTCAAACTACGAGTATTTGCTGGGAGCAAGAGGATGGAGTGCACAATAAGGTTTCAAGTTCAAGTATGATAAAATAATACTACTACTAATAACTTATACAGGGTGGCGCAGATGGATCGGGTGATTTTAAAATACTTGTCAAACTGTCAACTTTAAAGGTATTGGATTGAAATAAAGTGCAAAACGTGTAGTTACAATGGAAGTTTATTGACAAAAAAATGTTAAGTTAGTTTTTAAAAATTACACCCATCAAATCCTTCCTTCTCGAGTGACGCATTCTTGGAGTTGGTCCTTGAGGTTCCGCATTGCTCGCTCAAGCACATCATCAGGAATTGATGTGATTTCGTTGTGAATTGCAGCCTTCAACTCCTGAAGCAAGGGTCTACATGAACAAACCCCGGACCATTCAGGAGATGAAGGCTGCAATTCACAACGAAATCACATCAATTCCTGGTGATGTGCATGAGCGAGCAATGCGGAACCTCAAGGACCGACTCCAAGAATGCGTCGCTCGAGAAGGAAGGCATTTGATGGGTGTAATTATTAAAAACTAACTTAACAAATTTTTTTCAATAAACTTCCATTGTAACTACACGTTTTGCACTTAATTTCAATCCAATAACTTTAAAATTAACAGTTTGACAAGTATTTTAAAACCACCCGATCCATCTGCGCCACCCTGTACTTTCCTTGAATTTGTAAAAAAAAAACCAATAAAATAAATTGAGTCTTACATTTTTTAGTTTCTCTTCTCATTTTTATTGATTATCAAACCCTGCTCTTGTTAGTAAACATCCACCTCTGTTACACAGTTTCATAATCAATGTGATTTTAAAAATAAAAATGAGTATTAAAACAGTGTTGTTATTTGCAGGTGGACAAGCCAGTTCAGGTGTTTATCCAACTACAGCGACCTTCCGACCACGAGACCAGCGAACCCTTGCCCTTCCAGCTGACTCCACTAGACTCAGGTAGGCCTGCGTTCTGGTCCCTCCGTCGCTACCGCGCCGACTATCGCACCTTCTCTCACATCCTGTCTGCTGATACTAAGTTGCTGACAAAGGTTGACAATGTTGACAACCTCATCCCTGACACTGAAGAGGCACAAGACACCAACAACAACAGTCATCCAACTGTACTCGACCAAACCAAACCTCAGCCTTCATTAACAATTGTTGACCAATCATCTCCTAAGCCGATGGAGGTCCAACCCCAACCTCCATATACGGAAGTAGACACTGTTGTCGATAGTTGTCCGATCGAGCTAAACAACGAGGTTAAAAGATTTGAGGATGTCGCAAGCTTAGTGGACAATGTTGAGCAGAGTTTTGACGACCTGATCAACGAAGTTGACGACTTTGACGAAATAATGAGTTCAGAACTGAACCAAGAAATTCCAACCGTAAATGATGGAATTTACAGCAGTTTCCAAATGGCAATGAAGAATCCATTTGAGTTTGTCGACATGAATACATCAGGATACGAGGATGTACTTCCTCCTCCCCCCAGGCCTTTAGAGCCGAAACCTCTCATTAGGGATCAGATATTCACGGAAATGCAAAACGACGATATTCTCCCTCCTCTTCCCCCGAAGAGAATCAGGAAATCTCCTCCGAACAAAAACCTACCTCCTGTTCCAGAAGGGAAAAAGTTGAATATATTTCAAAAACTATTCTCTTCCAAAAGGAAAGATAAATCACGGAAAAATAGTGTTAGCTCGATGGGCAGCAGAAGGTCGTTGGTGGATGACAAGTCTGTTATTGAGCCTGATGAAGTTACGTTGACTGAAGCTGAACATTACGCTTTGTACACAGCATTAGCTCCTCATGCTACTGCCTCTGAGTTTGACGAAGCCTCGTTCTACTACAGCCCTGTCGAAGGCTTGTCCCAAACTGTCAAATGAAGCCTATACAAATGTTTTGTACGGATAGCAATATAATCAGGAATATGAAATATTTTCCTAAATGCTATACATTTACGAGTATATCAAAAGCTTAGCTGATAAGTTTTTGTATTTAATATTTTAAGAAACGAGTATTTTCGTAGTCTAGTCAAAGATGCTTAACTATTTACTCTTTTATATCGATGTGACTAATCTATAAATTATGTTGGAATTGTACACTTGTTGGATATGCCAGTGAAGGATATTTGGCACTAAAGATAAATATTTCAAATGCAGAATGCATTGCTATGACTGTTGTTAAGTTTGCGTAGAGTTTATGCGAGTTTGAGAGAAAGTCCTGCTGTGATAACCTCTTTCAGTGAGTACAGATTGTGGTTTGACGTTGTGTTGTAGAAAGCTAACAATAACTAATGACTTTTGAGTTTTTTTACCTTATCAATAAGCTATTAAAAAGCTTCTTATGTGTATGTGGTACTATTTTAACTAACATTTTGGAAATAACCTTTTTTTATGCTATGTGATTTATTTAAAGCATGTATGCATTCTTTTTTTGGACACCAGACACAATCTCATTCTCAAAACGTGCAATAAATGGCCTGCTTTTATTTGTGTTCGGAGCTTTAAGATATAAAAACTACTTTGATCATTACCACCCACCATTATATCCCTATTGCTGACCAAATATTTGGCTTAATCAATAAAGAAATCTAGGCAAACGGGCGATTAAAAAGATTTATAGTTTTAATCTATTCGGCAGCAACGTTTTACTCAACACTTTGTACTACACACTTGCCCCCCCTGCACCTAACAGCTAAATACAATAGCATCAGACTATATTTGCTATGTTTGCTGTGGTTATTTTGATTTCAGTTACATTTTTATATTTAGTTTTGTTAATGTGATTAATTTAACCCTACACCCCACTCCCTTCCACTTCTAGTTTTCCAATTGCTGGATAAAGTATTTTTATTCATTTTCAAGCAATTTGGGGGTTTTCTCACAAAATACAAACGGTAAACGTAATACTGGGCTTGTCAATTTTTGGGAGCAAAGTTTTAATTTTCTATTCTTCAATTTTCTGGCCTAAATTAAGTTTTTTACCTTGGTAGATCCACCGACATTCTTTGCGGACTCAATATTTGAAAGCAGTTTCTTGTCAACTTCATATCAGGATTTTAAAAACATATTTTTCTCTCTTTGCACAACAGGTGTTCAGATTTTAAGGCCATGTAGCTGACTGAAAAATATTATTTGAGAAGGGAGAATTCAGCAAGCTTACCAAATAAAATATAATTCAGGATGAATAAATACCCAAGATTACACTTACATAACCTAGTAAGCAAAAGGGTGTTGGTTAGATCCTCAGAAAAGTTAGTAGATTTTTGATGGCTAAAAACCGGACAAAACTGTCCTTAATCTTCCGGCTTTCAAAAACTTTTCCTGTATAATAAAGCAGATGGTCTTGGCCACTATAAGAGCTTTTATTTTTCAATTATCTGTCACATGTAGCCGAAATATCCGACCTGGTGAGTTACTGAGGGCCTGATTTGTGAGATATTTTCAAAGTAGGTATTTATTTTCTTATTTAAGGTAGCTGAACTATCTCTTTTTCAAAACGGATAAGGTTTAACATCTTATATAATATTTCTCTTGTGTCTTGACTGGAAACCCAAATGACAATCCTTAGTTAAATAAATAAACTTGAAAAATGTATACTTTATCATCAAACAGCAATTTTCCCCTTCAATCCCTCTTCTCCCGAGTTTGTTTTGATTTGCGCTCACACCTGATTGCATGGCTTGTGTTGTTAGGTTCTGTGTCAGGGGAGCAGCTAAACCGCAAGAAGCCACGGTTGAACGATGTCGATCGTTTGCTGATTGCAGACAAGGACCCATTACGTGAGTACCGACCATTCTGGGTGCCTGGGGGTTGGGCCGCTTGGTAACGCTTGGTTAACCTGACAAGCAAAAATGTTAACGCCTTTTAAATAAGTGCAGAGTTTGTCATTGACGTTTTGTCATCAAAGTTTTCCCTCTATGTACACCATAATCAGAGAAACTGGGGGTTGTATAATAAGCCCTTGGTATGATAATAAGTGAAAACATTTTCTGTGAAGTTATTTACATAAAAAAAATTCAATGGCAAGGAAAGTATTGAAAGGTAATTTAGATGACGGTAACAAAGACTGATTTTGCTCCTCTAAAATTTATTTCATTTTTTGTTCAGCCAGAATTTTTGTTAGTGCAATAATAATGTACTGTATAAGAATGTGAAAGAAGCTCACATCTTTAATCAGAGTTCTTAAAAGATCAAACTCAATTTATATTGAACTCCTTAATAAGACTGTTTATTAAAATTTTACTATTTCGTCCAAGTAGGGTTCTATTTTGGAACTTTTTCGATAACACCACATTGAATGATATGATTTAACTGCCTAAAAACTTTCCTAATAAGAAAACTGTATGTGCCGTATATGTATTATTTATACATGTTGTTATTATAAATCTAAATGCATTGGTAACTTTAGATTTTATTATTGCTTACGTGGTTATCAAATTTAATACAGCTATGTAGGGCTATCTCATTTTTAATTGGTAAACGTAAGATATTCGTTTAAGCAATGCCCAAGATTCGGTGTTCAACCAGCATTAACCAAGTATTTAAAATAGTCTTTATGAGTGTTAAAACCAAAGTCATGTTCAAAGAATGCTTACCGATTTGAAATATTGACAAAGTTGCAAAGCCTCAGTCTAATTACTTATTAGCCTAAAATATTTGTGATATAAAATTACCGTAAAAATTTCACCTATATCATTAATTCGGTTTTTTAAAGATAACAATTCATTCACTGGCTAACTTTGAGCATAACCGAGGTTTAAAGAGGCTGCAAACGCCTGTACTTAGTTGTATAGAATACAGTGTTAAAGTTAATTAAGTAACTTAACACAAAATCTAGCTGTACTGTCAAGAGTTAATTAACACTGTTTAGTACTTTTTAAGTTTAAAAGATTGTATAAAAAATTTATAGATGGATTAGTTTGAAAGTCCTGTGTGAAAAGTCGTTATGCACATATGGGAAGTAAAAAAAATCGTCGTTATGCATCCCACCATGCTAAAAAGTTTGTAAACAGGCGATGGCCTGGCACTTGCATTCAATGGGAAGAGGTCCCTTACAACACTACTAACTGTGTCTCTTTTCCACACTAAATCCTTACTAAAAGGCATCATGCACGGTAACTAATTCATCTGTATTTATGATTATCTAATGTTTATTTAGTCTGAACATTTCATAACCATGTCTTACCTTCATGTTTGAGACTTGCTTAAGAAGTAAGAAGCTACAATTGTATGGAAAAACACTATGTAAGAAAATGTGTGGCATTTATTAGCAAACATTTAAAAAAAAGTTTAAGCACAAAGAGGTGATATTTTGAAATCTACAAATTTGTAGCGAGCGTATCAGTTTGAATTTTGTATCACTATCAAGTTTGTTAAAAGTAGATATGTAATTAAATTGGTAGATATCAAAATTCTTTTAGGGACAAGTCAGAGAGAAGTTTTGATTTGATATTTTTAACTTGGGATCTCAATTCTGTAGCTTATAACAAGATAGTACAATGTATCATGGATCGGTTATTATTGGATTGTGGTATAATAAAAGCGTCAGGGCTGGTCGTGATTCGATTGCCGAAGTTTGTAACGGTTAAAGATTTCAGTTTCCGTACTTAGTGCAATAAAAGAAGAGGCTAGAAGTTGTTGTTGATTTTGTTAAGGAGTAACTTTTGTTTGGATTGTTTACTTACGATAGTTAACTGTTTTCAATAGTTTACAGTTTTGTTTGAGACAAGATTTATGTTTTCTAGTCAGGTAATGTCAATGTTCCTGTGGTTAAAGGTCATTATGTTTTGTATATTTTATATGTTAGTTATAGTCAAAACAATTGTACTTTTATAATGATCAATATGAGAGCTGTACAATTTGGTTGAAGCTATTTGATTAAACTTTATGAATCAATTGCAGTTGTTTTATTAGTCACAGGTTGAGTAAATACGGTAAATATCTTAAAAGATAGGTTTTAAGACTTAGGTCACTTTCTTTTACCATAGATTATATAAGGGAAGTTTAATTGAAGACATGATAAAAATGAAATCCATAGCGTTACACTCATTAAAATGAAATATTTAACCCACCTCCTGGGTGGTTAATTTTGATACTAATATTTTCGTAAAAATATACGGTACTTTGGTTTTATCCAGAGGCCACTTATTTTAGAGGGATATTTTTTACCGGGGAACAAAAACAAATACATAATTGGAAAAAACATACTTTAATTGACTTACTGCCAAAATTTGACATGATTACGATCAGCAGCCTTTCGATCGGCGAGGATTGAGTTGAATGCGTCGCCACCGCTACCTGCCACATGTACTCCGCCAAGTAGGTATACAGTGCGCTGCGGCGGTTATGTTAGGTTGGGTTATCATAAATATGTTTGTAGGACTTTCCTCGTTTCGTTATGAATCGAACGATACTAGATGAGTCATGATTCAGAACACTGACACATACAGGCGGTGATGCGCGTGCTCTGGTCAACGTTCTTACTTTGGCTTACTTGGAGGGGATTTGGTGGGCGAAAGTATGACTAATTTTGTATCTTTCAATTCATAATGAAACAAGGAAAGTCCTACAAACATATTAATGATAACCCAACCTAAAATAATCGCCGCAGCGCACTGTATAAGGGTGGCCTTCGGATAATACCAAAGTACCAAATATACTTGAGTTTTTAAGTTGTATATTTTTTACACTCAAACAGGTAAAACAACATAAAAGAAGAAAACATTTGTATATGCAACAGATATGTTTGCTAGCCAATTAGATTTCGAGCAAACTTAGCTGGAAATGTGTCTACTTAATTGAGTATACAAGTTATGGTTCAATATCAAATTTGACTAAGAAATGATTAGGCCCTAGTCATTCCGATGTTGAAGTTTTTGTTTTATAGAACTATACATTCCATCACCGTGTAACTTTTAAAGGTCTTGCTAGCCTCAGAGTCGAAATGAACATAGTTCAATTCAGCAACATATAGAATGTGCTGAACGTAAATTACTGATTCCTGTAGAATTCTCCAACTTTTGTTGACAAACAAAACTGAAATGTTAACTTATTGTTGACCATAGCAACTTTTATGCCACATAAACTATCTATGAGTAGGCCATACTTCAGTGTAAAATTATCCTCTAGTCAAAGATGTCAGACTAACAACACTTTTGCAACTATCTTCAGTAATTTTGAATATTGTCTGCAACGTTCTCATTCCAACAGCACATGTACACTACTTCATGTAACAGTAGTGGCTAAAAATGTTAACTGATTAAATCACTTTGACTGATGAAAATGTTATTGTAAAGGAGGTATAATTTTGAGAGTTTGAAGATTTTCCCCCTGAAAATAATTATTTGTAAGACAACCCGTAATTTAATGGTCTGTCAGAATATTTAATGATTATAAAATGTTAATGATATTTTTCCAAAGCTCTTCCTTCATTGGAAATATTTTATGAGAAGATGACTGGATTGCTACAGTGTTCTTTTAGGTATGTTTAATAACAATGTCCAGTAGTTATTTGATATTTATTTTGTTTATACTGTTTTGTTACTTAATTTTTACTTAGTGTTTGTTTTTCAAATATAACATAGTTTTTTAATAAGCAAACATTGACCTTGATAATTTTGTTGTAGCATTTATTTAAAAGTAATAATTGATTAACTGTATTTAAAACAGTTGGCTGATTTTGAAACTCTTAATTTGTTTAGACTTTTTACAAATGACTTCATATTGTTTATTGGTAATAAAATATATATTTTAATAAAGCAACTCATAAATAAAATTATGATTAATGGTAATTGAGCTTTCAATTTTTGTTTAAACCTTGCAAAAAGATATACGAAAAATAAAATTTACTTTACTTGCTAAAAAAGTCTGCTAAATTGTATTTTGTCTTTATTTTCTGTTTTTATCATGTTTTGTTATTGCATGGTGACTCCAAAGGGACAAGTATGTTGTTTTTTTTATAATTTTGTTTTTGCTACACTTTATTTTAAATTTTTTACATTAAAATCTTGATTAAAGGTGCATTGTATAGTATATATGCCTCATAATTTGAACAGTCTTTTAGTTGTTTACTTTGCAAAAACATTAGTGTAGTAATTTTGTCCATACAACTAGTTTTACATCCTACAAAATGTTCTTGTATTTAGCACTAGCAATGTTTTATAAAGGAATCCGTTATGGTAGTTGAAAGTAGCCTATGACTTCCTAGTTGATTTAGGAGTATTAAAAACATACAACTAAGTACAACCTTACATGTTCCTTATAAGGACTGTAACATAACTCATGCTTGCTTGGTGTAATTAACCGTAATATGTAGATGCTTGGATAGTGCTTGCCTTTAATTTTATTTAGCTTCACTAATCCTTAAAGAAAGCCTTGCCATTATGACTATTTTTGCAGTGTTATTTTATTTTAGCCAAGCCTGAAAATTTGTTTTGGATTTTAAAGACTAAAATATAAACACACATAAGTAAAATTATGTTAGTCGCTCACCAATCTCAAACTTGTATTGATTCTATTTTGATGACCAATATTATGCTATGGAAATGTATGAAAGACATTTATCAACAAAGCAGTCAGCGTTATCTCTATGTCACAGGAACGTTTATCGCGAGTAGTTTGTTTCATGGACGAAACGTTAGGCACGCCAGTTCATTGATGAATATTCTTTATTCTTAGTATTGTCTCCCATAGTCCCAAAGTCTATTTTGGGTTAAGGTATTATTGTTTTACATTTTTTTGTATTGGTACATTTCTATTGCAAAATGTTTGAGATTGTTGGGAAACTAACAGGATATACCTCAACAATGAATTAAATGTAAAATCATCAGTTTCATTTTGAAAACAAACACGTTAGAACAAAATGTCATTGCCGAAGGCAGGAAACTGTGTTAAACCATTTTTATTGGTTATTTACATTACAGAATTATTCTGAAATTCAACTCTTTAAAAAGAGAATTGTTTGCCTTTTTCCAGCTATTTAACGGAGGTATTTATGCATTTTACTTTATTATTTGCATCCTGGTATGATGTGTAACTTTGGCAGGCCTGTGCATTAAACAGCTGTTTTGTGTAGGTGCAAGCCCTCGATTGTCCCCGGGGCCCACTGTCAAAAGAGAACCTGCAGGTAAGCCAGCTTTTTTCAGATTTTTTACTTAAGTCCATTGTTAGTTATTACTTTACTGCGAGGGCAATTTTTTTAATTTTTATTGTTCGTATTTTTTGTAATTGGTATACTTTCAGTATTTGATCTTGATACATCATTGTCATTACTTTTCATTACTAAAAAAGTTCATGTTTGTATGGCTTGGTATTTACATTAAAAAAATTAAAGTTATCTCTTTATAGAAGTATTTTTGTTAGGTTTACATGGATGAAAATTGTCACCCACAATTTATTTATACTAAAGAATAGTTTCCTTTTTGGAATGTGATTGGTTAATTATTTTTGCCTGATTACTGAGCTCTATTACTGTAATGTGGATTTAACTGTGAATAAAAATTATTTACCTACATTAATAAAAAGATTTTACCGTTTATTAATTGTGTGTTTATATTTACTTGAGTCACAGGAACCACTGATTTAAATTTTAATGTAAATATTTATTTAGGGTTAAAAAAGAAAATTTAATTTAAAATCCTCCATAATTATAATAATTAACAATGAAGTACATGTATATAGCTCATCTATATATTTAATTGGCCATCATATAAATTAGGTATAGGTCCAAACAAAAATAAATTGTTCAGTATTTTTATTCACTAACAATTTACTTAGTAGTAAATTTTTCTGAAATTTAAGAAATCTCTTTTATTATTAAAGAAAAACTACGATTGTTACTAACAATTCTTTAGGGCAAAAACATCACAATGTTCTATCACTTCATCCTGTTTAACCAATTAAATAATTTATTCCAGCGATAACAAAAAGCTTTATTAAATTTATTTACCAGTTTTACTAATTGTTCTAACATTTTGCAGATACTAGTCCGAACCCGTACTCAGTCTACAGTCCTGGAGCAGTCAGGGTGGCAAGTGTTTACCACCCTGACCTGGAATACAACCCCATGTTTTACCAAGCACTACCTTCAACCTCGATGGGTTACCAGGCGAGGACTGTCACAGTACCTTCACTCTCCGCTTTGAAACCCGTGGCCGTCAGTCCGGGGGCGAGACTGAGCCCCGCAAGTAGTCCCCAGGCCTTAGGTAGGGTGTCACCCCTACCTGTCGCCAATGCCGTAGCAGTACCTTCGGACATATACATGCGGGAGCCGCTGCAGAACGGTTCGCTGCTGGACATCTCCTCGTTTGTAGCAGAACCCATGGAGCATATCACTGTAGACTCTAAAGACTTCTCAGGCTGTGATATAAACCTGTCTGAAAACCTTTCTAACAACCTTCATCTCAGTGATGCCAACATTGTAAACCCTCTGCAGGAGAACATGACAGACAGTTTCACCAAGCTTGCCAACACGGCGTACTCAGAGTTTGAAGGAAAGTAATACAGTTATGGTAAACATCACAAAAGTAACAAAGAAAAGTTTTGTTGCAGATATTGTAAATTTGTTTAAGAATTATTTTTTTACAGCTCTTCCTGATCACTTTTGTTCTGCCTGTTTACCCTTTACAGAATGTTTTCCAACATTGGATATTTTATATACGTTCTTAATAGGACTTTTGTAATAGTTTTATGAAGAAATGTATTAACATGGAAAATTGTATAACATTAGAATCATTAACGGGGTAAACTGCTGTTATTTTTTTGTTAAAAAAAAAACATTTTGTGCCTACAAAATGTAAGAAAGGTAAGTTAAGTTATTTTTTACTTAAAATTTACATTTAAAGACCCTTAATGGTGCTTTTTCATTCAAACTCAAACCAAACCAATTTCAGCGTCAGGTTTTATCTTACAAATTCTTATTTTTTTTTAATGACGTAGATTAAAAAAAGTCTCGACAGTTTTTAAATGTATATATGTGAAGGAGTGTATTATAATAATTCTGTAAATTTTGTACTAAACATAGTGATTTATCTCTTTTCTTCAATTCATTACAGATATATAGTTTGATTTAATTTAAAAATTGTGGAGTTAACGTCCTCTATTCATATTTTTAGATGATCTCTAAAAGGAACAAACCTTTATTATTTAAGTTAGAATAATTCAGCCTATGTACAACACAGGGTAGTGATTTTCTTTGTACCTAACACATAGTGAAAGGGAAAAGCTATTTGGTAAAAATTATATCACATCACTTAAGTTAGGAAACAAGCTCAAAAATCAGAACAAGGTAGCCTACTAGTCACAAACTTCAACCACTGAACTGTGTCTATCACTCAGCTCTTAACTTAATTTCATCCATTATCTGATAATTACCAGCACTATGTTTATCGTAGAAAAAGAATTTTTATTAAAGAAGATATATTGTAAAATGACAAAAATCATGCTGCAACCAACATTTGTTCCCAGTCCGTATTGTATGTTTGTAACATTTCCTGAGCTGTGATATAATTGTGCTATGTAACTTTGGTTGTTTTATGTTTTAAAGACCTCTAAATAGTTAAGGCTACTTGTGTTGACATGTTACCTTCGATAAGTATGCATTTAATGTGAGTTTTAAAATCAACGCTCAAACCAAGGGTTGTGTTGATTAAATGATTTTTTATCAAATTATGAAATTATTTATCTTTTTATCTATTTAGTTGTAAGTGTTAAAGTATACAAAGTGTGATTTATTAATTTATCTTACTTGATATTATTGATTTTTTTTATAAATGCTTTTTACTATTTGCTAAAATGCAATTAAAATGTTCTGTATGATAATGAATTTAAAGGGTCATTTGTTTGAAAAAATGTTTCGCTTAACGTAAGTTCAGACTTTGTCAATATACTTTATTTTTATTTTATGTAACTTCTACTGGCATATTTGATTTTTAATCCAAGTTCCTTTCACCTTTTTGTGAAGAAAACGTGTACTTTGTACATCCATTTAATTATAAATACAATCATCGAATCATCCATGTAATGATGTATATAATATGTTTAAAAAATTAATGACGGTAGAAATTTTATTAATATGCTCTGTGTTTTTAAAGAGATTCAAAATTAATGTTACGGTATTGACACACTATAATAGACTTTGCAGTAAATTTACCTATAAAGGGGGAAGAGCTACTCAAATACTATTTGTCATAGAGAAAAAAGATTTTTTAAAATTCTCTTCTGGTGGAGACCATGACAATAATAAGGCTCTCAAAACATAAGTTTGTTGAAATAATTTAAGCCATACAGTAGTCACATAAAGCCTGTTTCTTTATTCAAACTACTAGTAACAATAACAGAGGAACACACATATCATAAATGAGTAAACACTCTTTGTTATTTACATTTTGTTGATGAGATGTAATTATTTTCAAAGATTAACCATGAGGTCAAAGTTCGCATTAAATGAGAGTATATTCATTCTTTCTGTAACCCTTACTTGTTATGTACAACTGCAAGTTTGATCAAACACCCTGCATTGCAAAATATTTATCCAAACAAAATCCATGGCAATTTTGGATTATGAAATTTGTGTATTGAAAAGGCTAACATGATGCATAACTTGTTGTAAATAAGGTAATCATCATGTTTAATCGTGTATAAATGCAGAACTATATTATTTAATTGTACATAGAAAAGTTCTATTTACAAAGAACGTTTGAGACTCAATAAATTAAGTGTAAAAATAATTTTAGTATAAACTCAAAATATTCAATGTACAATAGTAAACTTTTTTACTTTTAAATATAAGTAGATTATGTTGGAAGATGTATATGCACTACAGTAAAATAAGCAAGCTTTTAATACATTTATAAATGTTGTGCAATAAAATGTTATATTTGTTCTGTTGATTATTCAAAGTTTCTGTTAATTATATGACATCTTTATTAAATACATACCATTGAAAATGTTAACTAACGTTGTTTTAATATATTCCTATAACCAAATCAACCTGAAAAGAGTTTATTTGAGAGAAAATAATTATTGTTAAATTGGTTGGTTCATAATATTATTATTCGTCCTGGATTGAAAATTGAGATTTGAAAAGTTTCGTGATGAGTATATTTTTAAGATCCTAATGAACAGTAGAGAAGTCATAAATGCTCACCATAGTCTTGGGGATAAACATGGTCATCCATGAATATATTGCATTTTAGATAGGTAGTTTAGCATTTTCGTAACTAGTTGGCGTCCGTTGCAACACACGCAACATTTTTACTATGCAATAGCAGGTATACCAATTTTAAAATTCTGCACCGTTTAGTCAACAACTGGCCAACTGAGGGCAAAATATTTAAAACAGTGTGGATATTAAGAAATTGTGGTTTTTTCACATGGCGCTCCCAGCTGTGTGCGCTAGAACATATGGTAATCGCAGCACAGCGGTGGTCTATTTAATTCTTTTTGTCTATGATATGTAGTTAAAACAGCATGCAAAATTCTTTACCTCCTTTTAAATATGAGTAATCATAAGGTTAACATGAGAAACTCAGGAGTCACTGGGGCGGAGCCTGAAAGGATTTTTGAGATAAGAATATGTTAATCGGGAATGTGATCTATCATCATACAAAATTTCAACCCAATCCAAACAGTAGTTAATGCGTGATTGAACTTCAAACAAACACACAAACTTTCACATTTATAATATTAGTGTGATAATGTATAAGTTCCATTATTATGAGAATAAATTTGCTGTGTAGAATAATAATTCTGTTGAATATATCAATGGGTAAAAAAGATACAGAGTTTCAATGGTATCAAATAAACTTTAATACATAAATAATTTGTTGAACTTTTAAACAAAGCAGACTAGACATAACGATGGTATGGCAAAAATAAAATCACAAATGAATGTCTTTTATACATAGTTATCTTAAGTAAAAACTAAATCAGTAACTAAACTCTACATAACAAACTACTAATTCAAATATAACAAAATAAATTTGGCCATTAATTCAAATACTCTACATTAGAGTGTTCATGTTCCTGAAGCTAGAAACATCTAAAATATATTCTATTCCTCAAATCTGGGAATAACTGATTTACTAAGTCTTCAAAAAGGTTGGTGAACCCTGCTTGGTACTCAATGTAACTTGTGGATAATTTTGTTAGTTTCCGTAACTTTTAATTAGGTTGACAAACATACCGGAGAACCCATATGTACAGGTTAAGTTTGCAAGGCGCGTTTGGCAAGATTTCTCTGGGTAACTCTGTCCAAAAATTTGGACAACCATTTAGACGATTATTATAGGTTACCGGTTTTTACAAGATAACCAAGTTTTTAAGTTTTAAACTCAGGGGCGGCTCCAGGAATAATTTTTTGGGTAGGCCTGACAACGATAATCAAGAAAGGGTTTGATCGGGGGACGGGAGGTTTGAACGGGGGACGGGAGGTTTGAACGGCTTTCCCACAAAAAGAGGGGAATTTTAAAATTTAAATGCAAAAGAATTTGTTTGAATGCTCTCCCTTTACAAATGATTAAATTTCTTTATTTATTTATAATTTTGAAATATCTACCAAAATTTTGGGTAGGCACTGGCCTACCCTCTGAAGCCGCCCCTGTTTAAACTTGATGAAAAACGCAAATAAGTTCTGAAATATTAATCGTATACAATAAAATTACAATAATAAAATAATGTACTAGGTAACTTTCAATAAATTGATTTTTGTAAAACATTAAAAACAGTGTATGTGTATGGTGTATACTAATAATAAACAAACCTTTCTTTGGTGAAATAAAGTGCTGTTAAAAATTTTAGTGTAGTGACTTATAAAACAAAATAAAAGATATACAAACCTTAACTAATATTAACACAAAGCTAAACTAACATACACAAGCATTGTAATGATCAGTCAATGATCGGTGATGTACAAAAACATGTAAACTTAAAAGATATAGGAAAATTATTTTTACAAGTGATATTGAGTCTGTGATGTTGCTACAGGATTTTTCTATAAGTGACGTATCAAAGATGTATAAAACTATAGCTAAAATATACAACCATACAAAATATGCGTAAAATACAGGATGGTTTAAAATTGATATCATGGTTTCAACACTATATAAAACCTATTATCAAACTTACAGTATGAATAAAATGTTACTAAGGAAAGATCAGCACAACAGTTTTGAAAGGATGGCGCTGTGGGTTGTCTTCCTTAAAAATCAAGCGTCTACAAAAAGAGATAAGGAGTTTCTTTCGATTCCTGGCAAGGCAAAGGGCAGTTGTCAGTCACTTCTTCTATGGGGGGCCAATTTTTAATTGGGACCACAAGGTGTCAATTTGGAAAGGGTTACACCCTATATCGGTGTAGGTGGTCTCGTTTAACCATAATAAAGGTGCCAAAAAGAAAAATTACCATTTAAATTCCCAAAAAGGCAGTCTTGTTTTTAGGGGGTCAAATCCTGACTAAAGGGCACTCCCTCTCTAGCTGTGTTGCCCCTAAAAGATGCACTAACAAAAATTTACCATTTCATTTGAATCTCAAGAGATTTGTTGTCCAAACCCTTAGATTCAATAACAAGAAACACTTCAAACCACATTAATAAAATCACAGAACGTGTATAATACTTTTTGGGAGAGTTGATTTTCCCTCACATTGGTTTTTTGCTAGCATAGACTCACCACATAACGGTGGGATGAATCTAGAATGATAGTGGATGAAGCAACGAATACAGGCTACTGAAGCTAGATAAGATTTGTTCTATCTTGCTTGGCGAAGACTGTATCGCAATGGAGACTTTAATTTATGGACAACCCTGGTATACTTGGAGTTTATAAAGAATCAAATAGACATGCTGCCACACTAGCTGAAAAATAATTGATGTAGACACTGCAGATTCTGTAGTGTATCTCTGAAATAATTATTCAAGAGTAACTCAATAAACAATACTCAGTACATAATTATTTGCTTATTGTCTTAAATTTAGACCCTATGAGACAATATAATAACAAATAGAACACTTAAAAGCCTTTAGGCAAAATTGTTTGTGTTGATTTTTCATTCAATCTTTTAGTGATAAAGTGTTGAAATTCTGTTATTCATTTTTAAACACCGTTTACTGTATTTGAGGGTTTAAGTCTTACTTTTACAGTGAATCACGGTTTGGGTAATAGCTTCTTCCTCATAAGGAAATTTGTTAACAATTTATGTTGCAGTCTTGCACGTTTCTTGTACAGAGCCTTTGGTAACTAGATTAACAATGTTTATCTATAAAAGGCTACAGTTAGCTACTTCTACATAGGTAAATTTTCTAAAATATATTCGTATTCAAGTCTTATAAAAATTTGCCCACCCTTTGGAAACTAGACAAATGAGTTTTACCTAATATAAAAATTGGTATAACTGGCTGATCCAAGACAAAATTTCTAAAATTATCAACCATACATACAAATGTACAGTATTCAAAGATAACCTAACAATCGTGGATGACTGATAGATAAGGTTAGTCACTGAAAAAAGTCAGTCTCATAAAATTCACATTCATAATAAATGATTTTGCTACCTGATGGTGCATTACTAGTGCGCTCAATAGTTTAAAATTATTGCAATTGCTATGATATAACAATATAGTAGGTACATCATTAGCATACAATTACAAATTATAACATTTGGTATCTTGGTAATAGGAAACAATGTTTTACAACAAAAACAAGTAAATTCTTTTCACAGTAACAGCCACATTGAGGGATGAAGTTACTTTTGTGAAGAACAAAAGGGAACACAAGCAGCAGTAGATACTGCCTCAAAAAACTTAAAAATAAAAATGGATCAGAAAGAAGATCTGTAAATCATAATGGATTAGTAGTGGTCTGTAGATATATTGTATGGTGGTTTTAATTATTTGATTGTTCTTGTAAAACTTCATACACCTTTATACTTTGTCATGACAGTTTTTAGAGAAGTAGTTTTGAAAGGTACTCAACAAGTTATATTTTGGTTGATAAAATTCAGTTTTTGGATAGAAAAAACTGACTATAAAATTTTACAGGATCTATACTAAAAAAACCAGGCAGACTTTGAAATACCGGACAATATAGCACTTGTGAGGGCAACTCTATGATGTCAAAAGATACCAAGAGGCCTAATTGTCTACAAAGTTCTGTGTCTTAGCCGATAAAATTAAGTAGCCTAAATTATATAGAAATATACATTCCATTTCCATGTCTAAGTTGCCGCCAGTTTAAACAAATCAAAATGGTCTTAGATTAATTGAGTCACTGACAGATTGTGCTGATATAAATAATTACTGATAACTGTAGGATATGCAGAGTTTTTAACCAAGTCAAGTGATAAGACAATTTAATATAAGCTCTGTGGCATATTTTATGTCATTTAACTATCTCAGTAAAGTAGTTGCTTATTCAACTATATCCTTTTTTGAATAAAAATTGGCAACAGCTGGCTCATTTAGATAGGATCAGGATGTCTACTTCAGTATTCAATAAATAGTCAATGGTTGTATCACAATCACAGTTACACTATACAGTTTTAGGCTATGGCAAAGTTTAGAGTCAAACCTTAATAAATCATTAGCGAGTTTTTGCATCCCTGTAAAAATCACGTTTAAGTTTAACGCTATCAAAATAGAGCTGATGTGTTGTATTTTCTAATGCTTAGATGTTAGGATTGTTTAATATGGTTGCGAATTGATTTTGTAGCTATGGAGGACTAATTTGTTGTAGTTATATCATAGTAATAAGTTGTAGTTAACTTTATCAGGTTCAGGAGCTACAACTGATCAAGGTTCTATGGGTTTTTACATACAACTTCTTTTAATAACGATATTTCATCATTTAGGGTGAATCTCAAACTGGTTTTCTATATTGAAGAAAATCTAAGCAAAAATTGAATAACGCTTTAAAAATAAACTGAGCATAAACGTCCAACTTAGGTTATGTTTAATTATTTACACTTATCAGCTGGTTTTTAACGATACGATAAAACACTACCTTAAATCCCGTGAAATATCGGGCCTGCTATACGTTATTGAGCTCGGTAAACGCTAATCACTAAAAAATAACGTTTAACACTTAGCGTATTTAGTTAACGTATGTTGCAAAAACTCTCTATTATCATAGAATTGCTTCACAACCCATCATTTGATTTTCGGTTTTATAACAAGAGACACAAACTTTGCAGTATTTTGGAGCCTATTATGAACAAATAGCAGTTAGTGAACAATTAAAATGTTTGACAACAAACTGCTTTGTTCAAACATTGCTTAGACAAAGACAATTTTAAAGGATAAACTTGGAACACAGTTTGGCATATACCTTGTATGATTCAGTAACTAAATAACACCTGAGAAAGGTCAAATATCACCAGAGTTGGTGTAAAGCCTGTATCATCTGTAGCAGTGAGTGAGACGGTATCGCAGAATGTAGTAAGTTACAACTTTGACTATGAGGTAGAGAGATGCTATAACTGAAAGACAGACCCAGTAGTTGGCTTCATGCATGGACAGTTGCTTCAAAAACTTCTCTGGAGCTCGGAAATGGCAATAGTCTACTGAACAGGGAATTTTGTCCCTGTCGTAACTGAAACATTGAGATAAAAGTTTACGTTGGACGAGGCTCAGAAACTATTATACTGTATAGCATTAAAGAAAATTAAGAGACATTTTCCAAAAAGGAATATTATGCGATCATTCCTCATCATTGAAGACTAATTCAACATTGAATTTGAAATAGAATATACATATATGAATCATTACAATTAAGGCAGTGAGTGAAACATCTTATAATTTATAAATAATGTTTGTTTAAGAGTGTAGTGGGTTTTAAAATTTATTTCTCACATCATTGAAGACTAGTTCGATAGGTATTTTATTTTTAATAGTTAACTTTTACATCTGCCATATTGGCATGAACGTAATTTTCTGTAACATGAGTGCGGGGTGTTGTTGGCTACTACTTTTATTTCTAAGTAATTTTTTAGAGAAACGCAGTTTCATCATTTCATAAATTTTTATTACGTAATATACGTTTCTTCATAAAACTTTTGTGTAAAAATGCAAGAAACATTATTTGAAGTGGTATTTCAAAACAATTCAGAGATTATATGTGGATGTCAAAGAGGTTTCCTTTTTTTATACTGCTGCCAAAGAACAGCTGACAAAGTTATTGTCAGAATAGTGCTTAGGATATTTAAATCCGTCCTTGACAGTGAAGCTTTGTTACTGACAGAGACAATTTTTTCCTTTAGCCAGGACCACTATAAATGTATTTAATACTTTACCAAACCAATCCAAAATTTAATGTGCAGCATTGTTTAGAGCTTATTAAAGATTACAGTATTATATGATGAATTTTTTTTAAGTTTCTTGTATAAGTTATCAATAATTTTACCGTACTGCAGCTAATTTTACAATCACTATCAAGTTATTTCTATAAACTTTCTTGTTGACAAAGAGACCAGAAACCAACTTCTTATTATGTAGTGTGACGAAAAGACTAAGTAATGTATAAGAAACATTACAATGAAGGCAGTGAGTGCATCATCTTACAATTTCTAAGTAATGTTTAAGAGTGTAGGCCAACAAACGTACCCGTATATAGCTTGCATGAGCCCCTCTATAGCATACTTGAGGTAACTGATGTGAAACAACCACTGCAAGTAGTGAGGAGCGTCTGGCAAGAGCAGGAAAAACCCTGAGAATATCAGCCAAGGCAAAATTGCCAACGGTCCGAAGATCACACCCAGCTGAAACAAAAAGTAAATAGTTTTTCAAAACCAACAAGTTATCTACAGTTACCGTTCGTAAAAAGTCACAGAATTGTTAAAAAGGGAAGTAGTAAATCTTCTACAAAAACAAACACTACCTAAGAAATATGCCCAATGAGATTTCATGGTAAAATATATTTCAATTGTATTGAATTTCAAAGTTTTACTACTATTTTTTGCAGAAATATAATATGAATATACAACTGGGCAGTTTATTAATCAAAATCTTGTGGTTAGCTTTCAAATATATGTTTCATTTCAATAGGTTTATTCAATGAAATGAGTGGTTTGATATAATGGAAGATTTTTTTCCTTTATTCTAAATTCTTTACAAGGACCATTAGGTGATATAAGTTACAATTGATTTTGAGTAAAGTAAAATCCTGACATTGACTACAGGATGAGGAAAGGAAATGTGTTTGAATAGAACCATTTGCTGGGATTGTTATTGCTTACCTGCCATTATTTTTTTCAAAAACATGTGTGAAATGGACTATGGAGTTCATTTTGGTTCCATGAGAAATGGCAGGAATAGTCCAATCCGAATTTAAAAAAATCAAACTGTAAGAACTCACCTTGACTGACAGCGTGGCTCCCACCAACACACCGACAGCTTGAGAGAACAGGGTGACAGTGATGAACATGAGCAGTAACATGTTGAACCTGAACATCTCCAGGGGTTGTTCAGACATCACATACACTATGATACAGTATATGGACGTACACACCACCTTGAGAACACACCATTAATAGTAATAAGTTGGTTGCAATTTTTTTCGGTTTGATTTTTAATTTATCAGACAGTTAGTTTCGGTTTCAAATACAGTAGATAGAACGACCACACACTTATATTTTAGCCTTAGTCACACTAGTTATAGGTTGTTTTGTGTAATTTGCTGTTGGTAATGATAGATTTTATGATTTTTTTATAGAAAAGTTTTTATTTTAATGATAGTATTTTTCTTTATTATTAGGACTTGGTGTTGGATTTATTTAAGATATGTTTGAAATAGTGTGAACACCTAGAGCAAAAGTGATCTGCAAGCTTAAGTGATTTCCAGTTCTTCATATTGGTGAATGGCGGTCGACTTTAACTTTTTTGACCATATTTCATCAATCGTGTGAAATACAGAGGTTGTGTTTGAACAAAAGTTAAAGAACACAAAGAAATACATCTTTTTAGTAGTGACAATATTCACCCTATCTCTAACGGTTATTGAAGAGAATTGAAATTATTATTTAATTTAAATTCCCATGTTATTCTTATGGAGAATAAGTAAACTGTTGTAGTTTGCTCGTTTGTGGGTATATTTCAATTGGCAAATTTATTTATTTTGTACTAAGCTTAATATTTTACTAAAAACACAATTTATTACCCTCCATCATGTAGCAGCAAACCTAGGTATTCACTAAACCTAATGTTATTTAAATAGATTTAATTTAAAATCCAATCAGGCAAATGGCAAGTAGCTTAGTCTGCATGTTTGCTGCTCAAGTATATTTTATAGATGTTTTTAGATAAAATTTTTCAAATTTACTTATTTATGCTTCCCGCCAATGCTCTTGCTACGTCCCTGCTGAAATGGCAAGCATACTAAGGTAGATATTTTAAGCCAAGTGTGAACGAAGTTGAGTATAGGATGAGTGGCGTGATCTTGTAGTTTTGTTAGTGACTAAAAGCCGACATGTTTCTTAGACACAGCTGGTTATTAATAGCCCATACAGCCAGTGGCAACTAATGGACACTAGATAACATAGGCAGGTACATTTTCATTGATATTGGGGTCTACATCTGCCAAATTTGAAATTCCAATATAAAATTATGTATTATTTCAACCAGGATCTCATCTAAGTATAATAGAATAAACTCAAATATTTTTAGCACTCACCTGTATTGGTATATCAGTCACAGTCAATGCTATATAGTAGGATTTGAGGGAGTACCAACGGTTGAAGTGTTCTCGAACTATAATCGGCATTTCCAAAGGAACTGTAAACCAATCATTTAATTTAGTTAATGTGTAATAAAATCTGCTGTTTAGTAATACAAAGCGTCCATCTAGCAATCATTCAGTGGTCAGTGTAGAAGATTGGTACTTCTAATATTAACTGAAATTGCTGAGCCTAATTCCTTCTAAATAGACACTACAAGAAAAAAAATAAACTATACACCCAACAGTTTTACTTGACTATAATACTAGCTTAGCTAATGGTAATAAATTACAAATACATAAAATACACTTACAAGAAATGATCATGGTTGAGAGGGCAGTATACATGAGGAACATCAGAGAGAAAAATAACAACCGGAAGTTGTCAAAGACAAAGGCAGCGTCATTTCCGATGCCTAAGTAGAAGAAACCCAGCAGAGATCCAACAGCAAGATGGATACCGATGCGGAAATTTGTGTAGAACTAAAACACAAATCAACATCTTGTATCATTCCCATAAATACCAAAGGAGTTTAGGCTTCAATTAAAATATGGTGTAGATATGACTAAAATACTGAATTTCACACTGCTATGATTTACCTTGTCCCGAGAGATTATTTTGAGCATTCTCAGCACAAGAACTGAAAAGTGGCTGAAGCAAGAGCCTGAGTAGGAACTGATCTTCACCTCTCCTTTATCTTGCTGGCAGTCCAAGCTGTGACCTGTAAATGTAAAAACAATAGAGGACAATTTAAAAAAAAAAAAAAAAAACATTGATGTATTTGTTTATCCACGCTTAACTAACTTTGCCCCAAATATGTGTGATTTAGAAGAATATACATACATAGTGGTATAAGTTTCTAAAGGTTCAGGCTTTTGTTGGTTTTTACAAGAGTCCTAAAGCCTACAGACAAACATACTTATGGCAATGGTGATAAAGCATACAAAAAAACAAACAAGAGTAGCAAATTTAAAACATACCACTGGTCTGCAAAGCTGTCCTCCTCCAGTCCTTACTTTTACCGTTGTTGATTTTGTCTACTAATTTGTCCATGTAAGGGCCATACTCCCCCACTGACACATCCAGAACTGAAAACAAACATATACCCTTAAAACATTTACTTATACGTAAAAAATGAGCAGGGAAGGACTTCACAGAGCTTGACTTCAAAAGGTTGTTAATACTTGTGCGTTTGAATTTATGTAGGTGAAAAAGTTTACCTTTTATAGAATTTTAGTTTAAACACATAGTCCAGTGGCTGAGTGAGATACAGACTTCTAAAATATCTACAACAAAATCCTTTGCATATTAAATCTGGTTTCTGGTCTAGCATGTCAAACATACATTACCAACTCACCGTGGTCAGCTAGATTGTGATACTCTGGACATGCGAGACCGAGGTCATCAAGGAATGCCGTCAGTCCCTTGGTGCCACCCTGGTAGACACAGCAGCCCCCGGCTATCACATACACGTGGTCTAACAGGTCAAACATGGACGCTGACGGCTGATGTAGCGTACACACGATGTTGTAGCCACTTGCTGTCAGCTGTTTTAGATACTGAAGACACTTCTTGGCAGTGAAGTAGTCTAGCCCACTGCAACACCAATTTTACTAACTCATATCTACTCTTACGTAATGTGGCTAAGTAATGTTTTAAAATAAACAGATTTTTTCAAATGTTAGTCAATAATAAATATACAGTTATGTAGATTTTGCATAGTGTGAAATCAGGGATTTTTATAGCATAATGGGATACTAGGAACTCTAATAGCATGTTACAGCAATATACAATTTAATAAGTTAAGTGTACAACTGAATACACAGAAAAAAGTCATATTATTAAGCAAGCACTATTTCTGTAATTAATTTACTTAAGTTTCCTTTTAGTGGGTTCAAGACTAAAGGCCAATGAGAAAGTCTCTCACCTCGTGGGTTCATCAAAGAACATCAACGGAGGGTTGTTGACGAGTTCCAAAGCAATAGCTAGCCTCTTCTTCTCTCCGCCTGACAGAGTTCTCGTGAGGGAGTCTGACTTGTGAGACAGATGCAACGTTATCAAGATATCCTCAACCTGGCCAACAAATGGATGAGTTATACTTGCCAGGGTAGGAAGTTTGTAAAACAATCGATCAGAGAAGACATTATATCAAAATGCCAATATTACTAGCAACATGGAAATGAGAATCCGAGGAGGAAAGCTATAATTACTGACCTTTTTCTGTCATGAGGAAGTTGTCATATAAATCCTTGAGCTTAAGAAGGGTTACCAACTATCATTATTGATGGTACTTGCACGATTGTAAATAGATATTTTGCAGAGTGCCACAGGATAGCACAACATAAGATGAATTGGCAAGGGTACCATAAAATAATAGGTTCAGATAGATTGTAGATTGTGTCAATCAGGATGGTGTGTATTAAAAGATTAGAGAAAGGCTCCCAAAAACACTGAGAGTCACACCACTAGATGCTAGATGTATTAAAATAATCCAACAGCATTCAACAGTTGAAACAACAGTCAGCAATCTGACACATACTTTCTCCCATTAGCTTGTCTACAAGGGCAAGCAGTGGGAGTAACTATGTTATTTTATAAAACTCAAAGAGTAACAAAAAGTCTTAAACACAATGCCCACAATACATAATAAAAAATGAAAATTGAAATTGCTTACAATAGCAAGTTTTTCCTCGAGTGTGTAGTCATTGCCCAATTTCAGATGGGCCGAGGTGACCATCGCTTCTGTGACAGTTAGCAGCGGCTGTAGGTTGCAGTCCTGCATGATGTATGCCACTTGCTTGCGGGATTGGCGCAGATCTCTAGCGCAGCCATTGTGTTCAATTTGGCCCGTAAAATCTAGTCTGGGGACAAAAAATGCACAGACTAAGTAGAGTCAGTTGGAACTACAACAGTGATTAAATGAAGAATTACTCATAAGCTTATAACCTATAAACACTTTCGATTCTTTTACTTAAGCAGCGTTTTTTGAGGCCACTGCCTCAGAGTATTTCAATTTAAACGAGGCCTCAGAGTATTCCAATTAACACGAGGTAGGTCAACCGGCTTCCCGTGAATGCGACTTTGAAGCTAGGTACCAGTTGCTGTTAAACTCTGCAAAAAAATTGGACAAAACTTGTCTTTCTTTTAATCAATCTGTCTAACATTCTTCACAAAAAAATTAATAAAATTAGAATTATTCTTAAGTGACTAGGAAATCTACAAATTAATAGATACATAAGCAAAACAAAATGGGTATGAAAATTAGTTTTTAGATTAGTTTTTATAGTGTAGAATGTGACAATCGCGTTTGAACACATAATTAAAATATACAAGGAAAAATTTAAAAACAGAAATAAGCTCATTAATGAACAAGTAAATTTTGACTCCAGTTGCACTTATCGGTAGCCAATAGTATATAAGGGACACTATTGAGATTCTTGTCATTTGCCTATTGGGCCTGATTTTAGTCCAATCAAAATCGAGCACCACTTACCATCTTTTATATGTATTTACTGTCTAGTGAGTCAACATAATAAGTGTAAATACATTATTACAAATTTTATTAGACGTATAGCGGTGTATTTTTTTTCAATATATTACTTACGAATATCCAGACAAGATGTCCAATAGAGAACTTTTACCAGAACCTGACGGTCCAATGATTCCTGTAAGTTCATAAGCTCGAAAGTCTCCAGATATCGCCTTTAAGATTGTCTTTCGCTCTAAACAAATAAAAAATAAATTGTTACAGAATAAATTATCAAAATATCTGATATGTCTTTGAAACTAATCCATGCGCTTGTTTATAGGGTAAATGGCATAGTGTAAAATGCAATACATAGTTATATTTAGAGATGTCTGATAGCAATTGCTGTTTTGGTATTTAAAAAATATATATATTTAATAGTGTTTTAAGAATGGAAGATTGTTGTATCAGACAAATTTTATATTCTTAATAGTTTTTAAGGAGGGTTGAACAACACAAATCAAAAAGTGCCCTTTACCTAAACCGGGCATAAGATCTTGATATTGTATTTAGCTGATATAGCCCAGTCAAATTAATGTAATCAAAAAACAAAAAATGGTATAGTTTTGCAAATTGGCTTAAAATGTCAGTTAAGGCTTCTACTTTATCATACTAAAAGTCCCCTAACGTGAGACTTAAGCTTTAGCCGCCATCTTGGATTTTAGGTACAATTTTCTGTTTTTTCTAAATTTTCTCATAAAGTATTAATATTTTATATACCGCATGCAATTACAAAATTAAAGTACACAAAATTTGCTACAAAAGTTGTATTTACAGTTTTCTTGTAATCCCAACTGTTTTAGAGAAATATGTACTTAAATATGTAATTTTAATTATTTTTAGGTACAACTTTTTAGTTTTTCTAAAATATCTCAAAAACTAATAATATTTGACATAGCATATATAATTGCAAAGTTGAAGTACACAAATTTTACTACAGTACAAAAATTGTGTTTACATATGTTTAGTAACTGCGTCCGTTTTAGAAATATATGCACATTAATATGATAATTTAATTTGTTTATTATTTTACCCTGTATCTGGGCTATTAAATAGTATATAGAAACTTTCTGTTATAAGTTAAAAATTATAATCATTGCACACTTATACGGTATCCCTTAATTAAATATAATTTACCCTCTAATGCCATTTGTTGGTTCAAAACAGTTTTAGATTTAACGTTTGTCAACCTTTCTTTTTAATTTTACTATCCGTCATACCCGTGTTTCGCAACGGGAAGAGAACGCTAAAGAGAATAGCTATTAAGTTCCATAGATCTGCTGTATGTAGATTTTAGACGTTTAGTAATTCACTAAAAGTATTAACTTGCTAATCCGTTTCCTAAACATTATTTTTGGGTAAATAAACCATACAATCACAATAGATTATTAAAGTCAATAAGTCAATGAATTATGCACTTAACTAATAAAACGCCTTATTCGCACAAAATGTCTCATTCGCACACTATCAAAAATTATTTATTAAATAAAAAAATATATACATAGGTATATAGCTGTAAAATATCCAACTTTGAATTCTACGTTTTCATTTTGTGTCACAGCTTTTTGTTGTTGCTCGGTCTAAATGAGCTGTTGTCATAAATTTAAACAATTAATAGTGTTGAAACCTATTGGTAAACCTTCTAACTTTGTAATGTTATTGAGCATCACAGAATCAAATTGTTTAGTTTAAAAATCTGTTCAGATTGTTTAATTCCATTTAAATATGAGTACTCATAAGGTTAACATGGGAAACTCCAGAGCCACTGGTGTGGAGCCGTTTGGACGGATCTTTTTTCGCGATTTTGATATTCGAGCTTAAAGAAAGGACGAATAGCAATCCTGATGATTACGTCCGACACATTTGATACGTAGATTTACTTCGTCCCCCAACTTTTATGCCTATTCTTAGCTGTTTCCTGCACTTTATATTTCATATCCAAGTTCCGCACCATATAAACTTTGCGTCTCTTCTCCAAAAGCTTATTTTTCATCCTCAAAGTGTGACAACAATATAAGCACTTTGTTTGAAAATCAAATTATACCTGTGATGATCGCAGTGTTGTGCTCGAGGTTTCTTTATGAGGAAGTGTACTATCCTTGGTTTTGGCTGCAGCAATAGATGATGGGCTGATGATATATGTTTTAAGGCAGTATGTATGGACATATTATAATCTTTCCTTTCTTCGCTTGCTTTTACTAATCCTGCCAAACCTTTCGCACCAACTTTAATACAACTCTCGCCGCCCACTGTACATTGATCACAAATATCACATTTCAATGATTCACTTATTTCCATTTTTTTGAAAATAATCTATTATATTATTAAAGTTATACAATCAAATTTTATGTAAATGGTTAAGGCCATAAACCAAATAAAAATATAGGCATATGGCACATCACAATGAAGGTCAGAGTGTGTAAATTTGCCAAAAAGTATTGGTATGAACGAATTCTCTTAGGGCTCTGCCCCACAGGCTGATTTTCAATATGTTATATTATTTAAGTGATGCAATCTAATTTTATTATAAATGGTTGAGACCATTAATCAATTAAAAGTATAAGGTTATGACCCATCAAAATAAAGCTCAGAGTGTGTAGATTTGCCAAAAAATATTGGTATGTACGAACTCTCTTAGGGCTCTGCCCCACAGGCCGATTTTCAAGATTATTAATGGGATACAATTAAATTGTATGCAAATGGTTAACATCATTAACCAAATAAAGAGTCATCCAAGAGGTTGCACGGATTTTAAACAGGTCGTTGTAAAAGAGACCGGTACAACCGTACCCACCTCAAGCAACCTCAGGACGCAAGGTATGACGGTCCCGGTGCTTTTAACATTATGATGAGAATTTCTCGAACTTGGACCATTTATATGAAAATAAAGGCAAAATTAATTAGATGGAGGCTTCTGAATTGTACACCCGTGGAATTCGAGGGTAGAACCTCTTATTTGCATATAATTTCAGTGTAAATATACATCCTAAACAACACAAGAGACTAACTGACAGATGATAACTAACAGATGATTAAATGTAAAAATGTAAAAACCAACTAATGTGTAATTAATTGTCGTCAACAGGGTTGTTAACTTCATATAGCAAAAAGAAATACTTAGTACTCTATAAATAATAATAATAATAATAATAATAATGATGGTCAACCACCCCTAAAACTATTAATATACAATAATGTGTATAACTATTGTAAAAAATTGGCACCAGAGGGTGATTTATATCATAACATAAAGTTTATATAATATACTCTTTGATAGCCCACATGCAGGGCTAAATGACAAACAAATTAAATAATTATCATATTAATGTGCATATATTTCTCAAACGGAACACAGTTACTGAACAGTATTAAACACACGTTTTGTAGTAAAATTTGTGTACTTCAACTTTGCAATTATATATGCTATGTCAAATATTATTAGTTTATGAGATATTTTAGAAAAACTAAAAAGTTGTACCTAAAAATAATTAAAATTACATATTTAAGTACATATTTCTCTAAAACAGTTGGGATTACAAGAAAACTGTAAATACAACTTTTGTAGCAAATTTTGTGTACTTTAATTTTGTAATTGCATGCGGTGTATAAAATATTAATACTTTATGAGAAAATTTAGAAAAAACAGAAAATTGTACCTAAAATCCAAGATGGCGGCGAAAGCTCAAGTCTCACGTTAGGGGACTTTTAGTATGATAAAGTAGAAGCCTTAACTGACATTTTAACCCAATTTCCAAAACTATACCATTTTTTGTTTTTCTTTATGAATTTTAAAGCTAATTTGACTGGGCTAATACATAAGAATGAGAAATTATAACTAGGCTATGTTTAATCTATATTTATAAAAGAGGAAGTTTGTATATATATATCCTATACTCTAATACGAGCAATGTTTGCTTGTATGTATGTATGTATGTATGTATGCTTGCTTGCACCAAGATCTCGGAAACGGTTCCGACGATTTTCTTCAATTGTTGTAAATAGTTTATTTCTGGCCTAAATCCTATACTCTTAATACGAGCAATGTTTGCTTGTATGTATGTATGTATGTATGTATGTATGCTTGCTTGCACCAAGATCTCGGAAACGGTTCCGACGATTTTCTTCAATTGTTGTAAATAGTTTATTTCTGGCCTAAATCCTATACTCTAATACAAGCGATGTTTGCTTGTATGTATGTATGTATGTATGCTTGCTTGCACCAAGATCTCGGAAACGGTTCCGACGATTTTCTTCAATTGTTGTAAATAGTTTATTTCTGGCCTAAAAACGAGTTTACTGCAGTTAGAACTGCCAACAAAAATCTAATTACGTAGAAAAATGAAAATGAAAATCACATTTTTTTAACATTAGTTTTATGGGTTGCTAGGTAGGTTGTCTGAATTAAATAACAAGTAAAAAGTAAACAAAAGACTTGAAGTTGTAGCATGTGTTCATAATAAGCCAACTACCCACAGTATACTAGCAAATTACAAATACAGTACAAAAGGATAAACATAAACTATTAGCAAAAATTATACTGTAGATTACTCGATACACTGTAGTCAAGGGTAGCAGTGAGAAGTCTGGGATCTGTTTATGACAATTAGTTTAAGGTATCTGCAATCTGCAATCCTAAAATGCTATGGGAAGGGAAGGAAACAGGTCCGCGACGGAGGAAGTGGTAAAGGAAGTAGTAAAGACAATCATAAAATGCTATGGGAATAGAGGGATACAGGTCCGTGACGTAGGGAGTGATGAAGGAAGTAGTCAAGGCAAGTAGTCAGGAGTGTGGGAACTGTTTATGACGATTAGATTAAGGTATCTGCAATCCTAAAATGCTATGAGAAGGGAGGGAAACAGGTCCGTGATGTAGGAAGTGGTGAAGGAAATAGTCAAGGTGAGCTGTCTGGAGCGTTGGAACTGTTTATGATGATTAGATTAAGGTATTTTCAATCCTAAAATGCTACGGAAAGGGAGGAAAACAGGTCCGCGACGTAGGAAGTGGTGAAGGAAGTAGTCAAGGCGAGTAGTCCTGAGTGTGGAAACTGTTTATTACGATTAGATTAAGGTATCTGCAATCCTAAAATGCTATGGGAAGGGAGGGAAACAGGTCCGTGACGTAGGAAGTGGTGAAGGAAGTAGTCAAGGCAAACTGTCTGGAGCGTGGGAACTGTTTATGATGATTAGATTAAGGTA